AGTATGTATCCAGCCGCGTAGCTTTTTCGCAAATATAAAATATTTGGGTGTTAAATTTAAATAAAAAAATATAAATTTCAACATATAATTTTTAAGAAATTTACGAGTACCGTTAATTTCTTCATGAAAGAAATTGTTTTTTTTAAGTCTCATTGAAAATAAGTTTTTTCTAAAAATTGCTTTTATAAAAATGTTTTTTTTTTGTTTATTCTATCTATTGTTTTTCTTCTAAAATATTTTTTTGACAAAACTTTTTTTTTAAATTACTTATTTTAGAATTACTTTTTTTTTTAAATGCTGTTTTTTAAAGTAATTTTTTGTTAAATACATACATACTTAATATAAATCTTTATCTGTTTATATTGCGACCTTTTTGATTTTAATCAAATAATCCTGTTTAATGCCGGCTTGAGGTCAGGGTGTTAATGGAATTAAAACAGTTAGTTTCTAAACTGCACGACAAAGGAGACGCTAAAATTTAATTAATGTATCTCCGAAGACGATCTCCGGAGGAGATTGAAATATATTGGAAAATAATGTATTTGCATGTGTTTTAATTCCATTAACACCCTGACCCCAAGCCGGCATTAAAAAGGATTATTTGATCATACATACTTTTTTTTTTCTTTTTTTTTAATACTTTTTTTGAAAATATTTTTTCTTAAAATATTTTTTTTTTTAAAATAATTTTTTTGAAAATACTTTTTTGAAAATAGTTTTTTTTAAATACTTTTCTGAAAATACTTTTTTTGAAAACACATTTTTTGAAAATACTTTTTTTAAAAATACTTTTTTTAAAAATACCTTTTTTAAAAACACTTTTTGAAAATACTTTTTTTCGAAAACACGTTTCTATTAAAACACCTTTTTTAAAAATACTTTTTTGGAAATTATTTTAATTTCGGAAATATATATTTTTTTTTTTTTATAAAAAAGTAATGTCACTAAAATATTAGGCCATATAAATAAAAAATTAGCAATTGCTTTTTCTCAAAATTTCAGGCCTTTTACTCAAATTTGTTTGAATAGATCGAGTAAAAGGTCTGAAATTTTAAGAAAAAGCAATTGCTTATTTTTTATTCATAAGGCCCGTTATTTTGCAGTAAGTAATTTTTATTTATTAAAAATTGTAATTACCTTTGCAATTTTTTAGTTGTCACTTTGAATAAGGTGTTAGCTTTATGCAAAAACGCACTTCCACAAAAGAAAAAAAAATCGCGAACGATTTTTTACAGTGATACGACGATATATTGCTTATGTTTGTTTCGCTACTTATGTATGTATATTATTCTACTTTTACTACTTATTTATAACTATGCCTATTAATTTTACTGCTTTGCTATGTCTCATTTTCACAAAAAGAAAAGAGTACTTATCAAGACAAGAAAATAATAAACAACAGAACCTGCAATTTTCACATTCACTAATTCGCTTTGGTACCCTCTTTTTCCATCCCATCTCCCACCACCACCAAACCACCACCACCTGACCGCTACAATTGATATGAAATTAAAAAAAAAAAATTATCAAAATTGTTGTTGCCTCGTCTGAATTTATTAAAAAAAAAACTCATCGCGCCTCAAATTCAAAAAACCCACAGGCATATCAAATTTTCCAATCTATACACCCACAGATCCGTTCCAACAGGCGGCGGCTTTCGTCTGGCCATCATACATACCGCAGGGTACAACGTCGGCCGCAGCAGCCGCGGCAGCCACTCTACAGCCGCCGCCCAATTTCATATTCCCCTCGATGAGCCCCCACTCGACGCTACAGCCGCAGTCGTACGCCACATCGCTTCAGCTCTTCGGCTCGAATTACTTAACCGCGGCCGCAGCAGCAGCCGCCGCAGCCGCTGCCACTTCTACACTTTGCCAACACAATCAACAGCAAACTACCAGCACACAGCAAACCACAAGTTCAATCAATTTGAGCTTGGCGGCGAGTGCGGGTTCTGTACCCCCGGGTGGTAGTGGTGGCAGTGGGGCGAGCAGCATGAGCCACAATCCACACAGCAGCAGCAGCACAAGTGGCCGCTTTTTAAGTTTGGCAACAGCTGGTGGACCCGCCGCCACCATGTTCGATGCGCCAAAACCACAAAAAACACTACAGCCTACGTTGACGCTACCACAACCCGTGCCACCACCGTCCACAGCTACGTTCCCGCCGCCGCCGCCGCCCTCACTCATCCTACCACCTGCCGGAATGAAAATCGAAGAGTGGAGTGCTACAGATTTTATGGCGGCTGCGGCGGCGGCAGCAGCATCATCATCAGTTAAGACAGCTCACACACAAATGGGCGCAGCACCGCCAACTGCATCTCAGCCGATCGCATTGAACTTCGAAAGTCGCGACAAGATGACTACAACGTCATCGAGCACAACGAACTTGTTGGACTTGCAGAACGCAGCGGCTGCTGCCAATACACAGGCATTGAATTTGATGCGGCTGCCTACGCCGCCCACCTCGGCGACAATGGAGACTGCGGCTGCAGCTGCTGGCGGGCCACAACTGCAGCCACAGATACTATTTCATGCCACTTCGACGCCCTCGCCGGCTTTGCTCAATCTCTCGGCGTCAATGCCGCGTGGTGCGGCTGGCAGTGTCGGCGCCGGCACTACAACCGTCACTCCGACAGGTATTTTCATAAGCGGGGGTGGTGGGGGTGGCGGTGGCACAGCAACGCCAGTGACACTTTCGGCTACTATCGGTCCACCAACGCCGCTAGGGGATGAGCCGACCGCCATAAACTTCAAAACCAGTCCAGTAGAAGCGCCGCCGCAACAATCGGTAGGCGGTATTGTGGTCGGCGTGCCGCGTGTGATCAGCAATAACGGGCAAGCAATGCAGGCGGGGCCGCCGCCACAAATGCAGGATGTGAATATACAGACGGATACGCCGGTGTGTAGTGATGACGAGAACTCAACATGCCCACTTGCCATTCAACAGCAGCAGCAGCAGCTACAGCAACAACTTCAGCAACACTTACATGCAACACAGTCAGGGGCGTCACAGTCACCGAACTATATGAACGATGGCGAAGTGCAGCAGCCTTTGGAATTGACCAAACAAAGTTATCATAGCGGCGTCACCAATTGCTCCGAAGGTGCTGGATATACGACGAATACAGCGCCAACATATATCGCCACAAAAACAACAACAGATGCAAATCAACTTGAGTGCCATAATGAAGTAAACGCTACGCCGAATGGAGAGGCTGAGTACCAAGAGGCATCCGCGCATCAACAGTCGCAATCGCAGCCCCTGCCACCGCCGCCAACTCGGCCGCCAACGGCATGCCCAATGGGCGAAGCCGCAGCAATGCATCCAGTGTCGGAATCGCTGCAATCCAGCGAGCATCACCAGTACCACCAGCAACAGCAGCAGCTGAATCAACAGCAGCAATCTGGCGCAGAGGATCTAACCGGTCTCGAACTACTCTCCAACATCAGCACAAGCACGCTGGCGGGTAAGGGTATCGGCGTTGGCGTCGGTATGGCCATGGTGCGTGTTAAGCAGGAGCCCATCGATCATATGGATGTACCAGTCTCATCAATGGGTGCTGATATGGCGTCGCAACCAGCGCTGACGACTCATTTGATGCCACAGGAAACCGTTCTGACATCACAGGCTGCCTCGGCTAGCTGTGACTCCTGTGTGCCCAGAGAGCCTGAAATGCTGCAGCGGCAACCAACACCGCTGCCTTTGTTGCCGGCCGTGGCCACGCCTGCACAGCTGCCACTTGCGCCAACGCCCGGTGTGGAGCCACTTGGTGGGTTGAATTTGCTTTGCGCGCTTGCCGAGCAGCGTATTCAAGAGGAAGTGCAGATCAGCAGGAGTCATTTGTTTGCCGACAACAAAACTCCGCCGCCGGCGCCGCCACGTTCAACATCGTCCTTTGGTTTTCAAACGCCACAGCCCCAAAGCCAGACGCATCTGCAGCAACAGTCACCGCCACCATATCGTCTGGAGCAAACTTCCTTCCCCTCAATGGAAGGCATTGAGCTGCCTTCGACGAGTGGGCTGGGCCTCGGCATAGGTAACGGCGGCGACCCACCAGTAAAGCGCAAGAAGCATAAACATTCCAAATCATCAAAGTCCTCTTCGTCATCCACACTGGGCGGCATCGGGGGTGTGGTTAGCAAGAAGTCGCAGCGTTGCTCGAAAAAGAGCAAGAAAAAATATTCGAAGGAGAAGCGCAAACACAAGCAGCAACAGCAACAATTGCTGGCCTCTGCTGCTGCTGCAGCTGCTGCCTCTGCCTCTGCTTCCGCCGATGATGTGGACTTCGAGGACGAACAATTGCAGCAGGAGCTCAAGAGTGCCTTCAATCGCGTGGATCCCAACTTCCAGTTGCGTTTCGGGCAATGGGCCAATGCGCAGGAGATATTTGAGCTGATGGAGAGCGATATGCGCATGCGTTTGGCCGATATAACGCGGCAATATCGCAAGAAGAAGCGAAAGCTCGACGAGATGTCCAAGAATAAAAAGAAAAAGAAATGCGCGAAATTGCTAGCCGCACAGCAACTGCAACAACAACAACAACAGCAGCAGCAATCAACACTCTCACTGGCTTCCCTCAGCGCAACCGGCAGCGGTGGCAGCCTCGCCTGCAGCACCACTGGCAGCTCTATGCCACTCTGTGATTACAAGTTTCCGAAATTCACCACCAACAGCGGTGTGGGTGCTACATCTACGCCCTACTTAAATCGTTCCACTTTCTTGCGCTTCGGCGAGAAGGCGCCGTCCGCAACGCCAGCACCACCGCACGCACAATTTCCGCCCGCCGAATGTGACAACTCGGAAGACAACAATACGCTTTCGTCTAACACCACCACCAGCGGTCCTTCCATGGCCGTTTACAAGCCGGTGCGTTTAGGTCCGAGCGCGTTGGCGGGTGCCGTTGCAGCCGCATCAGTAGGTGTCGATATGCGCAATGGTGTCACACCCCATAGACATGGGCAAAAACATAGTGCGTCCGATAAGAGTTCGAGCTCGGCAATTGTATGCAAAGAACCGAAACTAATGGCAGTCGCGGCGACTTCGTCTTCAACTTCGCTCACCTCTAGCCGTCGCTCGAATGAGACGCTCTCTTCTTCGGCCGATGAGCAGCAACCGCCTAGCGCATCATCACCTCTGCTCGCACACAAATTGGCAACTCAGCAGCAGATTTCCAAGCACGCAACGCAACAGCGACAAGAGCAGCAGCAGCAGCAGCAGTGCGCGGTGGCGCTGCCGCAACAACAATCAAAGCAGCAACAACAGCAGCAGCAGCAGCAATGCAGAAAGCCCACAGACCCGCGCGATTATCAGCTAATGCTGACCAGCGAACATTTGTATCGCAAGGAGACGCGTGTGCTAACCGACATGGGCGGACTATTCTATGCGGGCGTGATGAAACCGCTGCAGCCGCCTGATGTTTACGCAATCACCTTGGATGGTGAGCGTGGGAATAAGTCGCATATCATGTCGCGCGAGGAGATTTTCAAGGACACTGTGAGTAGTAGAATTTATATATGTATTTAGACCTTTTGAAGTGAAACTTTTTCAATGGCGTAAGGGAATTAAAAAAAAAGTCACGAAAATATGTGACACTTGCAATGCAACGGAAGTTCTCTCGAAGCGTGTGACACGCTGTGTGGTTTAAGGTTAAAATAAGAACTAGAAGTAAGACTGAGCGTGAGATTAAGTACTAGACCAAGATTAAGATTAAACCATAGTTAAGATGAATACCAAGATTAAGATTAAGACCAATATTATGTCATTATGAGTAAGATTATGATTATGATTATTATTGTGATTATGATTATGATTGTGATTATGATTAGGATTATGATTGGGATTGTGATTATGATTATGATTCGGATTTTGATTCTGATTAGGATTATGATTGTGATTGTGAATGTGATTATGATTATGATTTTTCAAATTGCCTTTAAGACTAATATTAAGACTAAGGCTGAGTTTAGGATTATGAATATGATTATGATTACGATTAAGACCAAGACCAATATGAGGACTAAGATAAGGGTTAAGATTGATATTAAGGTTAAGGTTATGCTAAGACTAGGCTTAAGGTTAGGATTTGGATTGAGTATAAGATTAAGATGAAATTAAGAATACTATTAGGGTTATGATTAAGATTAAGACTAATATTAAGATTTAAATTAAAATTAGTATTGGAATTCACATTAAGATTAAGGTTCGCTACTACTGTCTAGTTCGATTCATGCAATTTCAGATCAAACAAAGTCATAAACAGTACGTAAAATACGAATTTCTGACGCATGAAGCGAACAAGAAAATGATCGAGAGAAGTTTCACTTCCGTTATGTGCCCCTGGCGCCTTCCTTATTATTCTGCTACTGCAGGCGAATTTATTTCGCTCCCCTTCATATACATATGTATATATTTTTGCACATTCCATTTACTAATTTCCATATTTTTCGAAATTTCAGATTCTGGAGGTGGCGCCCAAATCCGTGGACTGTATACCAATTGGCACGCGTCTCTGCGCCTATTGGAGTCAGCAATATCGTTGCCTATATCCGGGACGTGCCATCGAATCGGAGTCGTCCGACGATGGCGAAACTCCCAATGATTCAGTTAGCGTAGAATTCGATGATGGCGACAGTGGGCGTATACGTCTACAGAATATACGCTTTCTACTAAGCGACTATCCCATTGTGGGTGAGTGTTTGTGTATGTGTGTGTGTGTGTGTGTGAGAATGCCACGACCTTTGATTATTTACATATGTATATTCATCTCTTTTGCGCCCATTCATTTCAGTCTCATTTAAAAAAGGATCGGAAATTTTGGCTCAAAGCTTATTAGATGATGAAAAGATTTCTTCGCTTCCGAAAAGTATGTGCTATGCTTATATACCCGTACATACATACATACAAATTTTGAATTCCATTTCGTTGTTGTATTTTTTTTTTTTTGTTTTGGATTTTGGATTGCCCTTTAAAATTGTAACCACAAATTTCCGATCAATTTCAAATTCATTCGCCTCATTTTCATCTATGATTTTCGATTAATCGATGGTCTATTCTGTATTTCGTGCGTTTTAATTTGTATCCCTACTTTTTCCGTTCTCTTTTCTTTTTGAACGTACGTCCCAACTCCTCTAGAGTACAACGATAATCCCCTCTACTCTTTAGGCAAGCACAAGAAGTCTGGTGCAACGCACGCGCGCGGCAACGCTAATGGCTCCGGCAGTAGCCACAATTCCAATGATGCTCATGAACACACTTCCATATTTGCAGTCTCTGATCTGCCTGTGGCGACAACGACAGCAACAGCGGCAGCGGCAGCGGCAGGGGCGTTGGCAGTGGCTGGTGCACCATCTACGTGCGGCAGTGAATCGCAAACACAGAGTGCTAAGGAAATTAGCGCGCAGCGTAAAGAGAAAAGGCGTATCAAAAATTTGAAGAAAAAATCCCAAGCAGCTGCAGCGTTGGCAGCCAGCACAAATGGGTGCGTGAATGGCAGTTTGTCAGCGTCTGCGTCCGCATTGGCGCCGGCAAATGGCAGCGGGCTAGCGGTTGTGGCGGCCGTTATGAATGGCACAAATGGTGTGGACGACGCCGCGGTGGCCGCTGACTGCAATCGCAAGCACCACAAGCACAAAAAACGCAAGAAGCACAAGAAACATCATCATCGCAAGACGAATGGTGGCGAGTATGAAGCGATCAATGGCAGCAACAACACATTCGTGATCAAGAATGCCGGTGTGGCGCCAAGCGGCAGCTTTCTGACATCAACACCGACGACTTCTTACAAAGGTAAGCGTGAATTTGCAGCGGCTGTTGCTGATAATCACAGCAATAATGCGCAAATGGCAGGAGACGAAAATGAAATCGCCGCTGAGGAGCAGGATGATGACGATGAGGCGCAAGAGGAGGAGAATGAGAATGAGGAGGTTCGGGTTGCACAAACGCCAGTTGCTGGCGCCTTCCAAGCGGTTGCCGGTCATAGCAAGTCGCAAACGCAAAGCGGATCGTCTTGTTTGTCCGCAGCTGCTGCGATTAAGGTAGAGACGACTGCGGCGTCGACATCGGCAGCAACAAATGCTAAAGTCAAAACAGAGCATTTGGATTTAGAGGAGGAAAGCACCTCTAATATGATGTCCGAATTATCGGATGAGGTAATTTAAAATCTCTTTTCCGGTGATCTATCAATATTATACTCTTTACTGTTTTTCTATGCCAGAATAAATGCGATGATGATGAGGTGGAACACAATAATTCAAAGGGTAGCAAAATTGCTGCTTTTTTGCCGGAGCGGCAACTCTGGGGTTGGCAGGGAAAAGCGTATCGCAAGGCTGGTGTTAAGGGCAGAGCCCGCAAGCAATTCTACAAAACAATCAAAAGGGGCAAAGAAACAATAACTGTAAGTGGAGTTAGAATAGGAAAAATGGCTGCGTGTATTTACACATATATGCATGTACATACATACATACACACAGTTTGCCACAAAATAATGGAGTGTGATATCTGGTAAAAATATTGACTATTTTGCTTTTGTTTGTTTAATGTTTATAAATTTTTGATTATAAAAGTATAGCTCATTAAAACGATAAATGCCACTTTTCTGAAACATTCTAATATATGGTACATACGAGTACATACAAAAAAGTAGCATTTACATACATACGCAAATACATATCGTGTAAGAGCTCTATAATCCAACAAAACCCGTATAAATCCAATTTTGAAACTATGCAAGAATTATAAAAATTAAAAAATGTTCAGCAAAATTTCAAACTTTTTAGAAAAGTTATAGGTGTGCAGTTTTAAACCACAATCACAATAAAATGCAAGTTTCCAGTGGCTACAAAATAACATTGACTTTTAGTTTTTTTTTTTTCTTTTTGTTGACGGTGCCACGTGTTTTCTTCCATACAAAGAATTCTCGACATTTTTGCGCAAAGTTCGAAATTTGGATATATCTGGTTTTTGTTTTATAATGAGCTACAGTTTTATAAAAATTTAATAAACATTAAATAAACAGCAGAAAAATAGTGTAAACTCGTCAAAATATCGCACTCCTATTCTTTTGTGGATAACTATGTATATGTACATATTTTGAGATCCTTACTTAAAATAATTATTCAACACATTCCAGGTGGGGGATTGTGCAGTATTTTTATCGACTGGCAGACCAGATAGGCCATATATTGGACGTATTGAATCCATGTGGGAGACAACGTCTAGCAATAAAGTCGTGCGCGTTAGATGGTTCTATCATCCTGAAGAGACAACAGGTTGTCCAAATCTAAAATATCCGGTAAGTTACAAACAAAATAAGAAAAGAATACTTATGCATACAGTGAAACCTCGAATTTTGATAAAACGGAAAGCTCAATATAAGAAAATTTTTACTGAATCCCATGAAAAAAGCATCGTAGTTGCGAAATTTTTCATAAAAAATGCTCCATGGATGTAACGACGGAGAAATTTTTAGCATGAAAACCTTCGGAATATCTATCCCAGTAGATAACTCAGGAGCTAAAAACCCTTCCAGAAGGCCTTGCTGAGAATCAAGAGGCCTTGCACTCTGCATTACTTTCCCCTTTCTATTCTGTATAGAGTGGCACGCATAGAAAGACTGCCAGAAAGGTTTTTGTCGGACATACTTCAGAAGGCCTTTTGGAAGAGTTCTTCTAAAGTTACTTTTTTAATTCATAAATGTCATATTTAATGTATTTATTTAAAGTTCATATTGCATAAGCAAATATAAGTGTATATGAAAATTTTTGTGTTAACAAAATATTGAAATATTTTTGCCTTTTTATCTCAAATACTTACACTTACAATCATTTTTTCCCCTTTATAACAGGGCGCCTTATTTGAATCACCGCACGAGGACGAAAATGATGTCCAGACAATATCGCATCGCTGTGAAGTACTTCCGTTTGAGCGTTATTTTGGCAAATTCGGAGCTGATTCAAAGCAATATCAATCGATTTATGATAATAATGATACTTACTACTTGGCCGGCTACTACAATCCGCGAATACAGGTGCTCAATATACAAGACGAGATACCTACGCTAAAAGCTGAACAGCAAATGCAGCAGCAGTTGCAGCAACAGCTGCTGGCAAAAGTACAGCAACAGCAGAACGGTGTTTGCTTGGAAAATGTAAGTGCGGATGTTGAATAACTAAAAAAAAAGGAAGAGAAGCAGTAAGAAGAGGCCGAAGGAAGCAGATTTAAATAGTAATTAATTGTAAGTTAAAAGTAAAGTAAATATATGTAAGTATGTAAAAATACATAGATACACATAATGTGTATCATTACACAATGACAAAGCAACTACATATACTAATATATAGTACTGCTGTAGCGTTATTGTAAATGTGTGTAATGCCGGGTATGTACGGACACAGAGACGATGGACGTGTGCGCTGCTAGCGTCCCTTAACTACTATATAAACCGGCTACGTTGTGCTGTATGTTTATACTATTTGTATATGTGTAAGGATAACTGTGAAACGATTTAGTTTTAGAGGAGAGAGAGTTAAAAAGGAGCTAATTGCAAAACAAAATGATACAAAAAAGAGAATCACTATATATTACTATATTAAATATATTATACTACATACAAACATTATATATGAAAATATATATACATATATTATATACTAATGGGTAAAAGAAAGAAAGAAAGAAAGCGCGCAGAAAGCATAGCAAGCTTAAATTCGATTATGAGATGAAAAAATAATTTTAATTTTAAATTTAATTAATAAAAAAGTAAATATATTATATATATATATATATATACTATATACATGCATATACACTTAAACGTACACATATTATACATACATACATAATTATAAAGCGTGAGGATATACGGACATTCAAACACATCGACGATTACAAAATTCGGAGAGGAAATGATTAATAAAAAAAAAAACGCAAATACAAAAAAATATTGCTACACTAACAAAATGGGTATTTTTTCGGACAGTAATACTACAGATATACACACTTATACATATATATACTATATTTCAGATGAAATTTAAAACTAAAATTCAGAAAAAAAAACTTTGAAATAAAAAAAACCAACTAACTAAAACTCCAGCAACTAAAGTAAAGAAGCAAGCAAACAAAAGATGCATACGTACATAAACATATATATGTATGTATAAAAAAAAAAAACCTGTGAATAGCAAGTAGCAATAGTGCAGAGGCAGAGGGGTGGAGGTGCGCGTACTTGATGGGTGAACAGTTGGGGAAAAATGCAGTGTGTCGCAGAAGCCCGTAACAGGAAACTATTTAGAAAGAAATACTATAATTGTAACAATTTATTGTGATAGTCGATCGAGGATAATTGATGATCAAGATAATGAAGACGATGATGATGATTTTGATGATAATTGCTAACAATGATTTTTGATGATGATTATGACTCTATGGAAAGAATGCGTTGTATATTTACATCTCGTTTATTCAGATTTAAATATTAAAATACATACATATAAGCAAAAAGCAAAGAAAATAAAAGCATACAAAAACAAAAACTGTACACACAAATGAAGAATCTTCAACTAAAATCAACAAAAATCGCAAAAATAAAGAATCAAATAAAAATAATAAATAAACGAAGCAATAAATGGTGTTTTGGTTTCTACATTTGTACATACATACATTCATATATTCATACCTTTCATTTGCTGCGTTATCCGCAGCTTGAACTTCTATGTATTTATTTATCCAGTAAAAACTCCGACATACCTAAAGTATACAAAAAAATATGTGCGTACGACCAACAAGTGCAGTTTATACTAACCAGAGGTCTGCAATGAGTATTAGTGAAATTGGAACATTTAAGTCCAACTAAACAAGAAAATACCAGGCACCGTAACGGTTAATAAAAATCATAGTTAAAATTGGATTTCTATTTTTTCGATTATATTCTTCGGCCTTATCGCAAATTCCATGTAAACAAATATATGAAATTATGGAAACGGTTTATTCACATAGAATGCCATTATTTTCTTGGATCATAAAAGACTTAAATCGGTCATAAAACGCAGTCTCCAGCATAACGATTAAGAGTAATCGAAAAAAGTATAAATCCAAAATAACGATTACAGGGGATCACAAATTTTAATTTGGTTTTTGTTCTCCAGACGCCACTATCCAATTTGTATGTAGAATCGCCCACTGATACCAAAAATAGAGTTAATTTTTTTATTCTATTTATACGTTTTCGAGATATTTTGAATTTACCATTATTCAGCTTAAAACAAAAGGTGGTTCCATTTAGTCACTTATATCTCATAAACCACTTTAACAAACTGAAAATGAATACGACAAATGAAAGCTTACAAACTTTTCCATAAACTGTCTTATACATCACTTTCCGATAGGAATGATAGTTTCTGACAAATTAATTAACCATTCCCGTTTTTTTTCGATAAATAAATTAAAAAAAAAATTGAATTTTAACAGGAGAAAAATTAAAAAACTAACAGGGTCTGTGTAAAATTTTTGCAGTTGTGATAAAACCTGTTCTGCTGCAAACAAATCAAGTTACTAATGAAGCAAATCGATGTATAAATAAGGAAGTAATGAGTAGTCAAATGAAAATGCGCAAAGATTTTTTCTATGAGAAATGAGCAGGAGATAATGTTACTCATACGCCATGTCAACCTAAGTGGCACGCTTTTTTCTTTGATATTTAACGGTTATTTTCATTACCTGGAATATACTTAAGTATTCCTACTACTTATGTATTTATACATATGTATGTGCCGGCAATTCATGACAATCGATTGTAGGCTACCGATTTCATTATACTAATTTGTTCGTATGGAAAAATTTTAATGCGTTGATCACTTTTTGTGTTATGCTTTGTGCCATAGAGTAGAACTCCACACCAAACCTTTTAGGTGCTATGGCTTTCAGCGCTCTGGCCGATATATATAAAAACTTATGGCTGAATAAAGCGCTGAATGCCTGAAAAGCGATGGACGCCAGAAAAAAACCTTTTGCCGAGTTCTATCCTAATTGCTTTTGCATTCTGACGCGCTCTTATCGTTTCGCTCTCGTTTGTATTCATATATTTATGTATGTGTTGTTGCTACATTCTTAAATTCGAATATAAAGCTAAACTAAACAAATGACTCACATCACTCAAGTCATTCCACTGCGCTATTTACGTTTCTTGGTGAGAGAATGAGAGAATTGTCCTGTTCATATCAACAGAGAACTTACTTATTTTTCATTCTCTCGCTATGTGTGCTAAACGAGTTTTAGTGGATATGAACGAATGTTCTTTTAGTTATCTATGTATGTATATCCACTAATACTCTTCTTGTATCAGTTAACCAATGACTTAATTGCACATCTCTGATACTAACTACTACTTCTTCACATGCTTACTTTAACCGACTCATCTAACTCACTTTTCTCTTTAAACCGTTCCTAAACCGTGTCATAAAACTTATCAACCGGGTATATGCTGGGTGTGCGTGCCGAGAAATTTCATAGACTCAGCTCAACGAAGTGTAACCAATACGAGTACGATATTCTACAATTCGTTTCTAAATTTGTATGGGTGGGTTAGGTGAGAAAAAAAACTACCGCCTTTTCAAATAAAACCGAATTACATATAAAATTTCTGTGCACAGAAGAGATGTGCCAATGAAAGTAGAATGTACGAAATTTTCGCAAACTATGTAAATATGTATGTATGTTTGCTATTTTTGACACAAGCTTATAAAGTTACGCTCCACTGTGCTTCGTTGCCATGTAGCCAATTGACAGCCGAATAGGCAGCCACCTGCGCATCGATCCAACAACATACATAATTGGTTGTTGAGCTATGAACAATTATTAGGCGTGCTGAAAGAAAGTTGAAAAACTTATTGTAGAGTGTTGAATTTGTAAAAATTATCAACATATATATAATATCTTAATCTTGCGTACATTGTGCTCTACTGCGCCAATTCGATGAGCTCTACACCGAAGTGGTATTGTCGCAACAAATCAACGCCACCCTTGCAAACATTTACGGAGATTACAAAATTGGGCAAGGAGTTGAGGCGTGTCACATATCGTATTGCCGTTGATGTGAAGGTTGATGTCTTCGATGAACATGTGAGTATATACATATGTACATATGTTTATATCTATAAGGATTCGCAATAGAATATTAAAGAAATAGTTCAAATAAAGTGTATAAAGGACTTTCCAAATAAGTATCCTCCCATCAGAGAGTCAAGGCTATGCGAAACTCGCTAATTCAGGCACGAGATGATCAACGGCCATAGAGGGCAATGCGATAACAAATGAATTATCGTAGGCTGGCGGCTGTTTGGAGGAATCCGAGGCTGTTGCACTGGTATGCCCTCTCGAAATCATTCAAAGTGCAATTAGTGTGCATTTGCTTGGATTGACAAGGAAAAGGTGGTCGGATATAGAGATTTGCAAAATAGCCAATTAACTCTGAACTGACTACAAAAGGACGAAGACGTTAACCCTGACACTATCCCAATGCTCAAATATGTATGTATTCATCAGACCGAATTCCGTGCCAGGCAGTCGATCGGGCTCTCCCTTTAAGGATGACGCCGTCGGGGTGTGAGCACAAATGTGATTAATGTTTTCGAACTTAGCTTTGATCTTGTTTTGGTCCAATCACAAAACCCATACAAAATTTGCGCTCCGTCTCATGGATGCTATAATAGACAATCACCCTCATTGCGAGTTACATATTTCGGCACGACAATAGACAATGCCAAGGTTGTCGAGTCGTACAATTTAGTCTAATTTACGACTTGCGCAATGAAGCTGAACCATGATCCGTCCACTGCATTTCCTTTGCTGCGGTACTTTCAGACGTGTTGGGAGGTCAATATCCGGTGCGTTCTCTGTCTTTTCATTAGATGACTTTTTGTCGCGGATTCCGAACCCAGCACAGAACCTATTGCTGGAAAGGAAATGAGACATTTTACCAGCAGACTATGACTTGGATTTTCTTGGCCCACGATGTCAGAAAATAGAAGCAAACTCCGCCCACTGCGGAAAGCACCAACTTGGCCCTCTCCGTTGTTGTTGTTGTAGTTAGCGGCTACTTAACGCTTTGAATTTCGTTGGTATTTATAGTGTTGTTGTTGTTCTTGTTGTTGTTGTTGTTGCCGTCGTTGTCGTCGTCGTCGTTGTTATTGTAACAGCATATGAATTCCCCGAAGAGTTTTTGGAGAACGTTGCTGGAGTGACAGTCCTTGCGCAAATATAAATCTGGGTCTTTCCGGTTACGTAAACCCGACTGTAGTGGGAACGGTCTTTATAGTGTCGTGTCTAGTGATTCACGTACGAAATTCTGGATCCTGTACTCCAGTTCTTAGCGATGCCTTCCGATTTGTCTTAAGTGGAGGTTTCGCCTCCAACAAGTGCCTCTTCGGTTAATCACATCAGTAGCAACCGACAAAGAACTGCATGATATTAAGCTCGTTTACTGTGAAGGTGATGTTCTGACGGCATTAGAAGACACTCCGTAGCTGTCCGGAATTATGTATTGTAGAAAATGTAAAGCTTCGTCCACTGCGTCGTACTTGTCCCTGTTGCAAATTCAGAAAATTATCACGACAACCGGTTACATGTACCGAAATGACTCGGGTTTTACCCGCTGTTGTTTCGGCCATCTAACCTTGTTTAGACCGGTGAAACCTTTCAATCGTTACCCATCTTCGTCCCCACTAAAGGTAGGAGATATACAATTTTACCGAACGGGCGGAACCGCCGATAATCAGACAGGTGACACTGAAATTTCTTCCGCTTACATGAGACCCCAGTTTTCTTAATTAATTTAAAGGTATGAGGGGACTTATAGCCACTGCACAGACTTCGGTTAGATTATATTGGAGCCATTTGCAACATTTGGGCGAGGAGACGAAGCGGATCGGCGGATATACACTTTAGCTGCAGAGGATGAACGACTATAAGATATATATGTATTTTTTTTTTCATTATTTAATGTTTCGTAGCGTGGTTTGAATTAGAGCTCTAGATACCCGGGTATCGGGCAATGCGAGTAGCTCGATACTCGCTCGAAAATCGTTCATTGCTCAACTACTCAAATGCTTGTTCAAAATTTTCGAGTGTTTGAAATTGTATTTGTCAGCAGCTGCTTTCTAATTCATGTTAAATAAATTATATTATTAGATACCAATGTAACAATCTTTGCATTATACATCAATAATTTGAAAAATTTAAAAGTTGCTACTAAAAATGTCAATATAATAAAAAAAACATTGCTCAAATTACTCGAAAAAACTCGAATTGCTCGAGCTCATGCTCGAAAATTTTCGAGTAATGAGCATTGAACAAGTGTGCGAGTACTCGCTGCTCATATACCCGGGCTGTTTGAAAATGTGCGAACAAAATCAAGAGCTCTAGTTTGAATGAGGTACATATTCACTTACTTATAGTGGTCGCATTAAATTGCTCAATAAATTTTTCATTTAGATACTCATTGCCACGACTCGGAAAATCTGGGCACTCAATAGAAATAAATTTGTCTCGACCCACTTCAGAACTATAAATTTATTAGTTACGATTTCTCATCGAATTTTTAAATCCTAGAATACCCTTTTGGAAGAAGTGGAACGTGTTTGTGAACTCTACTGGAACCTGAAAGACGAGTCACAAAACAAGGATATCCACTCATTGAATAAGAAAATCAAGCGCAGTCCCTACAATGCCTTACTACTGCAGAAATACAATATGCTTGCGGAGATCAACGATCGACGCTTTTGTCAGCTAATGTTTGTCTTGAAGCAAACGGTAAGATTTGAAGTAGTAAAAGCGAAAACTTAAATAATTACCTATGTACCATTGCAGGTAACACAATTGCTACGCAAGTCCAAGCAATCGGATATGTGGCTAAGTTGGGCATTGCAAATATCGTGTCTATACAATAAGTGGTGCCGCCGCGATAGGCTCAAAGATGCCGACAACATAGATGGCGTATGCAAGGAGGTCGATGGCGCGCCGAGTCAAGCCGGTGAGAAGAAAGGTCCACAAACAGGTGAAGATGGCGGCACAGGAGAAGCCAACGCTGCTGAGTGCAATGCCAACATTTGCAGCAATATGTATCCCGCATTGTTGTTGCCGCCAAAAACAATCGATTTCGCATACGTTTTGCAGGTTTGTAAATTGTTGAAGGAAGCTGAGTTAGGTCATAGTTCTGATTTTCCGTCTACAGCACGCTTCACAAATGCGCATCGAACAAAACTCGCTTGATCTGCTTTTTGGGCTCTTCAATATGAGCGAGCAGGAGCAAGCTGAGGCAGCAGCTGCAGCTGCTGGCACTTCCTCCGGCGCTATGTTGGCTGCTGTTCCAGCACCAAATGCCTCAGATCTGACTGCCCCCGCAGGCACAACTGCTGGTGAAAATTGTGAATCGACTGCCTCTAGTTTGGAAATTTTACGCATACTCACGTTCAACATGCACGGCGACAATGAGTTCCACTGCTACAACAATGGCGACAATGTGGGCTGGGATGGCGGCAGGGAGAAAAGTAATTGCCGTAAATATGTTGAGCATTTTTTGCAGCGCGAACGCGCCTATCTCAGCCAACTCATAGCTAAAGCTAATGACTACTGTCCGAGCATATTTGGTGCGACTTCAGAAGAGGTTATGGGCTTTTAATTTTAGAAAATTAGTAAATACTTTTCTTTGTTGTAGGTAAAAGTTGTACGCGTGCGGAGTTGAGTGAATTTGTTATGCGCGGCATGCGTCTGATATGGCCAAATGTGGGACTCATTTTGGATCACATCATTTTGTGGTGGATCGATACGCCACTGGCTTGCTATCCGCTGACACATGTCGAGACGATGAGAAACTGGTTGAAGAATCACACGGAGAAAGGTTGGTGGAGGCGCGTCACAAATTTGTTTTCTTTTTGTTTGTCTTTCGGCGGGCGGCACTAGCAATACCTATAACTACTATTCTTACCAAGTATTTAGGGTCACCCGATTCGAATTTGAAATCAGAGTTCTAAATTTCAAAGTTTTTACTTGCACATTTCAAAGAATTTTTGCACCTACTGTACCACTTTTACGTTAATACTTTTTAAATTACTTTACTTATAGACATTCCGGAACCTGTTTACTCAACTCTGCGTGGCGTTGCTGAAAGTCTAACAAACTTTGTGGCCAATAATATCTGGGATCAATTATTTCGCTACACTTTGCTATCAACAAATTGTAAGCCAGCAACAATGGAGCGCGCTCTGCGGTTATATCGGGCTGTTGATCAGGAGGAGGTACATAGACATACATAAGTTAAAATAGTACTATATTGGATTGCTACTCATAAAAGGTGAAGTCAAGGTTAAATGTACTTACTTTTGGATCTCAAAACCGAAAACATAACAGCAATCCAAAAAATGCGGAAAGTTAAAAAATTAAGAATCATAAAAAACCCCCGAAAGGTCCATAAGAACAAAACCAAACAATCCCGAAAAAATTCTGGACGGCCTCAAAAGAATTACCGAGAAAAGGTTTCGGTAAAAAAGAAAATTCCGAAAGAATAGCAAAAATACCAAAAGTCTTGAAAATTGAAATGTGAAAAACCTCGCAAAAATTAAGAAAGTTTTCAAAAACTTCTGGAAAAAACAAAGAATCCCGAAGATTCTAGAAAAAGTTCAGGAAAGTAAAACATCTTCGTGTATTGTCTAAAAAAAACAAAGAATCTCGAAAACTTCCGAAAAAGTCTTGAACGGTCCGGAAAGAAACCACATAAGTCTCGCAAAAAAGGAAAATCCCGACGAAATGACGAAAATGTAGTTAAAAAAAAAACACAAAAGTTATAGAAAAGTCGCCAAAAACACCAAAAAGTCCCTGAATAATAAAAAAAAAAATGCAGAAAAATTCCGAATAATGTGTTAAAAATTCTGTTTGATACAGAAAAAATTCCGAGAAAACCTTAAACACTCGCGAAAATTTTCTTAAATGAAAACAAAACCAGATTTAAAAATTTTTAATTAAAAAAGTTCTAAATGAAATACGGCTCCGAGATATCTTTTAAACCACGAAAAGTCCCTCAAAATATAACATGAAGAATGCCGCAAAAGTTCAGAAAAAACAAAGTTCCGAAAAGTATATTGAACAAACCTGAAACTGGCTAAGACCTTAAGATCTTTTGAGACCCCAAACTAGCTTTCATCTATTCAATAATCTTATATTCGAATTGAAGTTTTCACCTCATCTCTATTTGCAGCATCTGGGAACTTATACTGGCGGATTTTGGGATTTAGTCTTCAAGAACTTAATAGACTTAAGTAATAGTTACTTTCCAAACTGCGAATTACAAATGCAAATTAGTTCTCTGCCCGTTGCCGAACAAATACCCATACTGCATCGCATTGGTGGGTGACCCATTTGGCTCAAACTTAAGACCGTACAATATTCTACACAACCACCTCTTTCAGATCACTCCGTCCACTCTATGCGTTTGTGGGTGAAAGAGCAAGCCAAGCAACTTTGTTGCGAATGGCAAATGGATCGTTTCTTTCGCATACTCGAGCATGATGTGCGCGTTTGTTTGGCTGGTTTTAGCTCGCACAAGCTACCAAAACTAACTGCCGATCTCACAGATATACTCATGCTGGTCAATGTTGCATTGCGCGCCAAGTTGATTCTGGAAATTAATGTCAATATTGACCAATTGAAGGTAACTTACTTGAAGTCTACTTTCTTTTACCTTATTTATTTACAACCCACCTGTATCGTAGAAAACCAACGAAGAATGCGTACAAGTCTTATCGGAAGTTTGTCGCATACTCAGTCTTGCCAATTTTAAACTCGCCTTCCCGCCCGCATCGCACTGGCAGCAGCGTGTCTTCGACGAAGATGTGAAAAGCGATTATGTCGATTATGTGCTGGATCAAATATTTCTGCCTGCCATTAAAGCCACCAAAGATTTGGTTATATTGAAATTGATTTTGAAAATCATCTGTGAGGCTTGGTTGGATTATATTTATATGAAACGTATCAAATTCAGTGTGAATGGCGCAGTGCAATTACTCGGTGACTTCGATTGCGTACGCGAATGGATACTGGCCTGTTCGCTGTTGGACACTGAGCAGTTGGAGAAGTTGAGTAATCACGAGGTGTTGCGCATGTGCAAAGGTGTGGGTAAAATATTATTACGCAAGCCGGAGGATGTGATTTCGATAATTCAATCGCCAAAATTTGAGTACGATCGGAAGGCTGTCGGAGGTGAGTAGATGATTGAAAGCGATAATATGGATTAATACGTATAGAGTTGTAAGTAGAGCGCGACGTGAATTATAGATTTGGATTATAATCGTTTTTTTTCGCAGAATCAGAATTCCGAAGTAGCTCTAGCTTTTGAGAAGTTTTTGATATAAAGAGCAGTCCAGAGTTGTTGCTGTTTAGATAGTGAATTTATTTAACCTAAAAGTCTAAAAAGCGGTCGCTGTGGTGTAGTGGTTAGCAGTGCGCGCTACCACTCCACAGGGCCTGGGTTCAAGCTCTGGTCAAAACAAAAAAATATAGAAAATAGGTTTTTTTCTTAACAGCGGTTGCCCCTCGGTAGGTGTGTATTTCTGCCATGAAAAACACGCCACAAATCGGAGGAGAAGCTCGGCCAAACACACATTGTGTAAGCGCGAATCTATTATTATTATTTTTTTCGTAGGAGAGGGAAATGCTTGATGCACTGGCCGGGGGCACTAGTCTCTATACCACCGTCGCCGAGTGTGGGACTCCCACCGAAGCGTGTTGGGCTACCCGCTAAAACCCAAACTCCCGCCGCCCGCGCAAGAGTCCCGCATCTGGCACCGCAATTCTGCATGTCTTCAGATGCAGGAGCGAGCTACTTAAGCCTCAAGGCGTTTCATTTGTGTGTCTTCAGTAGAAATCTGTCTTCTCGTTTGCAGCGGAGTACGAATTTCACGTATCTCGCAACTGCTTCCCACTTGTGTGCACTGGAGATCATTATCTGCGCGAAGACAAGAAGTGCTCGCAAGTGAAGAATGTATGGTGTACGCTATCTTCGATGTTTCCTCAGTAGTGATAGAACGGTAAGTCCACCCTGCCCTTTCTATGAAGATATTCTCGGCAGTAACCAACCCCGATAAAAAATATTTTCAAATATAGCTTTCTTAAAACTCTTTTGTTTGACACTCATACATTTATATAAATATTTCATGTAACTCGTGTATAAGTTAACTAAACTCGACTTTTCAAAGAGGTGGCAACGATCTTCAGAGGTATTTTCGAATTAATAAAAGAGACTTGCTTTTTCGTTTGACAGTATGATGCACATGTCAATTAACTGATCAGATAAGTTGGATTTAGTCTTTTAAACATGTGGCAACCCTCTTATATAGGCCAATAAAGCATTTAAAATTACCTTTGCCTTAATTCGACTTGAATTTGTTTTATTAAACATGTGAAAACCCTTCTAAATATAGTTCTGAAATGAAGCCTTTTCAAACCCATTTCCTATAAATTTTCAAACAGGTGGCAACTCTTTTCAGAGACCTCAAAAATATTCTGAATGTTCGAACTTAAGGTTTCTTAACACTCTTTCGTTTGCCATCCATATTTTGGTATTTTATATAACTAGTGTATACTTTAATTGTATTCGATTTTTCAAACAGGTGGCAACCAAAGTATTTTTTTAACTAACTTTCTTAAACCTCTTTCGCCTGATACCCATATTGGGCTAGACATTTATTCAATTTGAATTTAATTTTTTTACAGTATAATTTAATAAAAAACTGTAATTTAAATTTTTAACAGGTGGCAACTCTTTTCGAAAAATAAGACCTTATCGCAGATCTAAGCCCTTTAATTTGACACCTAATTTTTGAAAAACGACCGACTGATGACATTAACAATAAATGCCCTCGCATATTATCTATGTACATTACGGTGCATCAGTCTCCATACAAAAAATTGGTACCGTTTCGCCATCGAAATTATGAAATTTATTATATATATTTTAAGACTTCACACAAAATATTTGAGCAATACCAAAAACTCCATCAGAATATGATTTCAGAGAGGGCGACTGTCTTTCGTGTGATTTCTTTAATCTGGTGTTGGATGAGATAATAACAGCGTTATATTTCAAGGCTTTTGTCAAAAAAATTCGGAAGAATATTAAAAAATCGATTGTTTTTATAAATAAAAGTAATTTTTAAAAATATTTTTTTCTAAAAAATCAACTCAGATGTTAGAAGAGCTCAGGCTTAGTAGTACATATGTACTTATGTAGGTCTGCATAAAAATGTTTAAAAATCGACTCCGCCGTCATAAACAGTGGTGTTGTTTCCATCCAATTGGGTGGAAAAGTGTAAAAGCTCAGTTAGTCTAGACTTAACTTACGTAAGAAATCGTCAATGATTACGCAACACGTCAACCTTTGTTTTTGTATTTTCCTTTTCAGCTGACTGTCATAAACCACATCACAATATTCCTGAACGAAAATATATTGTATTGGCCAATATATCGAGCCCTAACCGCCAAAATAACGTAAGCGCCATTTTTTTTTTTAATTTTCTTTTCGATGCAGAAATACATCTAGATGCCCGAGGAATATTTCTGCATCAAAAAGAAAATTTAGAAAAAAATGTCGCTTACGTTATTTTGGCGGTTAGGGCTCGATATGTACTAGGTTACGTTACGTAAATTAAGTCTAGACTAACTAAGCCTTAAGGCGGGTAGCTTCTGATACAAATTTTAGATGTCTTCCAATCGCTCAGCATTTCAAGTGAATGTATATTTTTTAGTTTCTAATTTTATTTACATACTTCAAATAATCTGCTCTATGTTGCTTTATCTTCCCTTAGCTGATGCTGCTGCTCAAGAAACCCAATTACCATCGGAAATGTTTGTGTCAAACCAAAAAAATTGGTTACAACTGCGCGCTAGCAAGGGAAATATTTTCAGTTGGTGTTGTGGCGATTCAGCGGTGTAAATTAAAAAAAAAAAAAAAACGACGTATTATTAATTTTTCATAAAAAATAAATTGCAATAAACGGAAGTACAGTTCCCACACGAGTAAAATCGCAACATAAATGTCACATTTTAAATAAGTAATAAATGACATTCCAGCTTAATATTTTTTTATTATAAAAAGTCGCTTGCATTACTTTAGAAAAAGTGTGCTTATACAAATGTATGTATGCATGTAAATTTTATTTCACAAACGCATAATAAATGAGTGAGAAATATGATTAAAATTAAATGTGTTTTAAGGAAAAAAACTCGGTCGCCCCGCATAAGCTCTATTACGCTTATGAATTGTTGTATTGTGTATAGTTTTCAAATGTATGCCTGTTAGTATGTTTTTGTATAAAACATATTTACAATTTTAAGCCGGCACTTTGCGACTAATTTTGTTCACCAACTCATCGACACGCTCGCTCATGCCGGCAAATTGCTTTGGATGTGGACCGATCATCTGAATGATAGCAGCAACATCGGCGGAGACCTATTGTTAAAAATTCAATAAAATGTAAGAAGCTAAATAAAAGAAATGCGTGAAATATGTGTGTGTAGAAGACCTCACCTCCAAGAAACGCGCCAATGCCTTGAGCGTACGGAAGACTTGTTCTTCGACTGGATTACTTTGAAAGAACTGCAAAATTGCCATGGCCAATTCGACAGCAACGTCATCGAAGACCTGTAAGTAATTTTTGATATTGAATTAGCGACAAATCTAAACATTATGTATAATTAGTAAATCCGTATGGAGTTAAAAGGCCAAAAATCATCGCTCAATAAATTGCAAAAAATAGGAGAAATTTTCAAAAATTGCGAAAATTGTGCTGGCCGCAAACCAATTCAAATTGTAACGTAAAAATTAGTGAAGTGAATATTATACCGATATTGGAATATTTTAATAATTCTTACATTTAACATGTGTATAATTTATTTAAATACGATTTTTCAAATAGGTGACAACCCTCTTCAAAATATAGCCATAAGCATTCGGCGAGACGAACATTTAGGTACGCGTCTTTCCCGAGGATTGACGTGGTCCAAAGTTATGCAGTAACATACATAAAGAAAAAAAAAATTCCGACGAACTGATAACCTCCTCCTTTTCTGGTAAAAAAAAAATTGGCCGAACCACGCCTTTTACCTCTTTCGGTGACACCTGTGTACATTCGGAAATATTTTTTTTTTTTTAATTCTAATTATATTGGACCCCTACAATTATTATTATTATTTTTATTTGTTTTCTTCTTCTAGGCGAGACGAACATTTAGGTACGCGTCTTTCCCGAAGTTTGAAAAAGTTTGCCGAATCATTACTTTTCCCTTCGTACCTTCTAAGGGAATAGAGAAGTGTGACGAATAGCCATGATGTAATACATTTATGCAATAGATCTAACTGTAAAGATTATGAGCTAACCTGTAGCCCTTCTCTGGTTTGCAACAACAAACTCTACATAAAATATTATGTATATGGCTGACAGCTGTCATAGGAAGGGGAATCGAACGCTGAAGTTTATCGTAATTGATTAAAGGCACCATTTATGTATGTACATTAGGCCGTGCCACCTTAAAAGTATTTTTGCAAGGCAATTAAAAAATAATAATTGGCCGAACCACGCCTTTTACCTCTTTCGGTGACACCTATGTACATTCGGATATATATATTTTTTTAATTCTAATTATATTGGACCCCTAAAATTATTTGCACTAATGTAACGTACTCACCACTGTCTTCACTTCCTTAATGGCTATATTGTAGAGCATCATGGAGCCGGTGTTCTTCAATTGCGGACAATTTGACAGTATGCAATGTACTGCCACTTTTGTTGTAACGCGTATATTCGATATCGTTTGACCCATATAATCCCATTCGGAGATATAAAGCAGCCATTCAGAGGGGCCCAGATTTTCAAAAAGATTGCACATCTACATATATAAGGAAAAAATTCAAGTTTTATTTTTCTGCACAATCACAAAATGACATCGTCTTACAAACATTGCCCACGCTTGTTGTTCTTCGGGTGTATGCTTTTCAATATCTTGTGCAAAATTCATTAGCGTATGATCTCGACGATCCTGATGCAGTATAATGATGACATCATCTTTCAGCGCTGCATAGGCTAATGTACGTATTAAATGTACTCGCGTATCGGGTGAAAAGTTTTCTTCGCGCAATATACGCTGCACAAAAATTAGGAAATTATCACCTAGTACCCATGAGCCTTCATCTTCGATTAGGTACTGGTGCAATTCCTCCATGGCAGCCTCTTCTTCTTTGTAAATTCTACCGTCGAGCAATTTGACGAGGCATTCCAATTCAGTCTTAATCTGTAAGGAGAAGAAAATGCATGTTAATTAGATGTGTAACTCAGAGGTGTGTATGGAAAAGTAAGGAACTTAATTTTATTTTTAAACCAGTATGGAGAGAGATCCTCGTCCTACTACGTTTAGTCATTTCGCATGAGTCCCTATTGGAATTTGACCTATCAGGACTCCTGTCAGCACCGAGACTTTTCGCTTGGTCAGCTTAAGAAGCTCCGTTAACGGCCTATGGTCAAAAACTGGACGGAATTATATTACAACTTAGCATATCGAGTTTTTTTGTGCAGCGCTCGGTTATCTGAATAAAAGCCCATCTGTTCAGGAATAGGGCGGAGGTTGTCATTCAGGACTCCATTCGGTTATAAGTCTTATATGTTGGCGTGAGCTCCGAAAGCCATAACGTATAATAAAACTCGATGTGGAGTACTAACAATCCTAGAGCCATTTTTGCCGCTTGGCAACCAGAGTAATTAATATAATAAGTATTATGCTAGTAAGTAGCCGGTCGGATTCCGCCTTAATCGCGGCCACCCTTGCCTTAAACACATTACATAAATTTGAAAGCTTAAACCTGGCAGAACACATCCCCACAAACTCTTCCGTTGAATAGCGGCCCATCCGTGAAAACTGAACCTTTCTTCTATAAGCTTTATTTCCCCCACTCAATAGAAATTCGGGAATAAAATCTGAAACTGCGAGGGGGATGTATACCGATTGCATAAGATCAGTCCTGAGTCAGGGTTCCTGACGCGCAGCGCCCTGATTTGGTGGCCTAGACTAAACAAATAATAAAATATTAGTAAACTAAGAAGTAAACAAAGGGCAGCAGACGCAGCAGTTAAGGGTGCACTAAGATCTTGCCCGACAGAAAAGCTAAAGCTATCCTCGAGCTGGTCGCGATCGATCTTCACATGAAAGAAATGGCTATGAAATATATTGTCAGACTTAGAGAGTTAAGTATTTGGGGGACTGCATACTTGAGGCAAGGGCTCATGATTTATCGCGTGCAATTAGCCCCAGCTTTATTAGAAGGTTTTCGAGTACGATGAGAACGTGTGTTTCGAAACTAATGCAATTTAATTAAAGAAAAGAAAAAGCTTCTTCATTTAGTATATTTCCCTTCTAAAGAGAGCTGGATCATAACGCTTTAAAACGCTGGCCGTTGCAAAAAAAAAAACTTAATAAAGATTAGAACACGGAATGCCTGCCGCGACAAAAGACCAAAAATAACTACTTCCAGAAACCCGCTTTTCCTTGTTTTACCTACTGGGATGTATCGTTTTTTGTTTTTGTTTTAATTCATCAGAGTGTATAAGTATGTAGTACGAGTAATTAAATTTCATATAACACTTACATTGATGTCTTTGTGTACTAGAGCAGGTTCGCGTGGGATTTCCTTCTCCTCAGTCGATTGGGAGCGTTCTGTGCCATTTGCGCGTTGTTGCTGACGCGGAGTGGATGCTTCGCTGTCTGACATATTCACCTAAAAATACCAATAAAATTTAAATGCCGGAATGTGGAAAGAAAATGGTAAATATATGTGCATGTGTATGTACATATACTAAGTATGTTTGTATAAATATTTATGAATCTATTAAACATACATACATACATTAATATAAAAATAAAGGTGATACCACTGTTAATACATATGTACATACATACATATATGAATTGTCAAAAGGAGTAAAATTACAATTTTTTATGGTCTAGTGTACATATATACATAGATATATATTTAATAAATGTATAATTCTCATAAATTAATTGTACACTTGGAAGCACATTCTACAATGTACCATGTAAATAACCAGGAAATTGCCGCACAAAAAGCGCTCATTGGCAATAATTTTATCCATTGCATGGTTAATCGTTTATATAACCCCAACAAAAATCTGTTTATGCGCTTCATAAAGTAAAATTGGTGTGGTGCATATTTGTAGTGTATTTATTTGTTCAAGTGTATGTGAGCAGAGACTTTTATGTTGTTTTTTTTTTGTTTTGTAAAACGTATAGAATTATATAGGTAGTGCACAGCTGTCAATATATCGCGGGTCTTTGGTGACAAGACAGCCAGCATCATCTGCTAAGGAAGCTTTCATTTTGTTAGAAAGTGGAACAAATACATTAACTTTGTCGGAAGTAAACTTGCCCCAGATTTCAAATAAATTATTTTTGTATCTGCGCTAGTATTTCAGTATATTCCTTTTCAAAAATCCCATGCAAAAAAAAATTATTAAAATTGCAAAATATTCGTGAAACTGGTGGCCTCGGCTACTAATTTGGCCTCCTTTCTTTT